CGTTTAGTTCGAAATGTTAAATGTTGTTTAAAACCATTTTATGTCAAGTAACTCAAATGGATTTCAATGTGCTTAGCAAACTTCGTTTTTCTTCCTTTGGTTTACTTCGTCTTATCTTTACACGGGTAATAAAATAAAAAAATCTAAGAGTATGTCACGTTTGAGTTGCATATGAGATAAGAAAAAATATATTTCATTTTTTCTTTTCTGATTTCGTTCTTTCCTTCTTGGCTTCCCACGATATTAAAAGACTGCACCGCTCAGCGTCAATATTGACATCACAAACAGCAGGCAACAATCATCTATTTATTATTTTCAAATGAGTAACATGTTAGCACGTAGAAATAGAGAAAGAAATGACTTACACTACTACTGAGCTGATGGAGAAAAAAAAATATATCGTTGAGTAATTAAAATATTTCCATATTTGTTTAACGACATCTTTCAAAGTAATTTTATTAAGATGAAGTCGAAAAATTCTTCAAATAATAGTATTTGTTCAAATAGACTCTTTCATGATACATTGGATAAGTTTTGTAAGCATTATGTCTAGATCCAATTAGATTATAACAAGAAACGTTTTCTCTCATATCTAAAGTATGAATAAAGAATCAGATATCGATAAGTTCTAAACGAAGAGTGAGATTATTTTCTCATAACAAATTACTGATTTGTCTATGCCATTTATAAATTCAATTACAGAGTGTGGGTGTGGGACTTTTCTGCTCTACAGCAACACCCAAACCCACATCCACCCTTTCAAGGATTTTTTATCTTTTCCCAGAATAAGCAGTCATGATCGGTTTCGACCTTGCTAAAGAGACTCATCAAATGGCTTTATTCAAAGTCATCAACATACAATTTTCATACTTTATCTCCTCTAGGGTGTGGGTGGATGTGGGTGTGGGAGTGGGTGTGGGTATGAATACCAGCGAGAGAAAAATAAGCGCACACCCACACCCTTTTCCAAAAATCCTTTGCAAAACCAATTTTCCGAAATTGTTTTCGGAACACTTTTGCTTATGAAAATATGCTCCTGGGTCTTGGCTATCAAACGCTGAAAACCGCAGATCTCTATCATCTTCCTGTCGAAAGTTATTCAAAAAACATCCATATACCATTCTTTATTTTGGATGGACAATAGTTGTGAAGTATTTTTGAGTCGTCACTTTTTGTACTTGATTTATATTTAAATAACCCTGAAAAATCATTGAAAACTTTTAAGAGATGAATTCTATTGCCATACTTTACAAAAGAAAGAAGTCTACTTCTTCTGAACTAACAATTTTCGATAATAATTCCGTAAACTGTAACAACATTTATATTCATTTGAGCACGTTTTAGCGTCTTCAGCTGAAAAATAGTGAAGATAAACTATACCCGCTGGCTACGCCAGAGATGTGCAACTCCGATTTCGATGAAAGTTTTTTCTTCCTTGTAACGGAACATATTTTTTGTGGCGTTCCAAATAACAAACAATCAAAATTTAAAAGAATATTTATAAATAAAAAAAGAAACAATTTTCAATTTTATATAAAATGTTGAATATTTGAAGAATATATTTTAATTATTTTCATCATTGACTTTTTTTTTCATAAAGTAATATTGATTATCTTCAATTAATAATTTTGGTAAGGTGACTGGTGGAGGAAATGATGAATTAAAAGCGGATGGAGGTAAATCAATGAGACTACTTAAATTTGTCAAACATGGATTGTTTTGATCAAGAGTATAATATTGATTAATTTTTGTTAGATTATTCACAACTGTATTATTATTTGCTGTAATATTTCGAGTATTACATATTGATATAAGAGGTCCAGAATGATTTGTAGCTATATAATTTCCATAAAATGCAATGTTATTTCCATTATAAGATTGTATAACACCTTGATTATAATTTCCAATTAAAAATGTTGATGATGTTATTTGAACATTCTTAATAGTTGGAACTAATTGAACCGGATCAGGTAAAATTGTTATAACTCCTTCTTAACGTGCAAGTCCTTCATTATTATTAACAAAAAGATTTTCACTAAGTGTAACATTAATAGCATATGGACCTTCATCCCAGTGAAGTGATGGTTGAAATAAAATTGCTGGTCCACTTGTTCTATTAAAAACTGATTGTTTCACATTAACATTTCGTGTTTCTAAAAGAATTCCACATGCTCGATTATTTTCAATAGTAAAATTTCTTATTGTTAATTGTGGTGCATCACTAACAACAACGTAATCATTAACAGTTACATCCAGCGGACTATCAAAAGTATATAATTGTGATAGAGAATCATAGATTTTCGTTGAAGCTACTGCCCCTTTTGCATGAGGAGTAAATGGTTGTTGATTACTACTGAATTCTAAATGTGTTCCAATACCAACATCAAGTATATAAGGCCAACTTAATGTTTGAACAATTAATGCTGTTGAATTGATTATTTTTTTTACAATAAAATACATAGCATGTACATTTAATCCATCATCGCCCATTGATGAACATTTACTATTTGATACTGAAATATATTCCCTACTATCTGTAAAATGCATACAGTCCATAATTATACTCATCCAACGTTCACTCCGTGGTACGACATTAAAAGCAATAATATTTAAACGTTTTGTTCGTGTAGCAGCAAAATCCATACACCAAGATGTATAAATATTTATAGATTGAATTGTTAGATCTTGTGCGTCCATTGAAGCAATAACATGTTTTTGAAAAGCATAACGAACAACAATAGGATCTTGTACAACAAATTTTGCTGGTTTCTTTAAAGGAATACGTAATACTCCAGGCGAAACAAGACTTGTAGTAGTATTAGGAGGTGGTCTTTGATACATGTCATAGGTATTTGGATCAAAAGCTGGTCTCATTGCAATTGGATCATATCGTAAAATAGCTTCAACTTGCTGATTTATATTAGTTTGATGAGGTGGTTTAACTTGTAAATCAAGATAATTTTTCATTTACATTAACAACATAACCTGCCGTAAATGGAAGTGGATCAAAATCAATCGATAATGAAGTTATTATTAATCCCTGACAGGATTTAATTGAAAATATTGATGATGGAGAATTTCCAATTAAAAATGTTTTATCAATTCCTTGTCCTATTACTGTCAAATTATTTGCATAAGATACAATAATTTCGGATGATAAATTATATGTACCGAATCCAAATACAACGCTATTATGTAAACCAGACTTGATAGCTTCACTAACAGCTAATTGAATTCCGAGACTTAATGATAACCAATCACAAACAAATGTCATGTTTTTCACTAATGACAACTTTTCTTTCAGCTGATATTAAATATAAATCGATAAAACTATCAAGCTCCTCTCTATTTAAAAAGTTTAAAAAGAAAATTGATTATGTAAAAAAAATGCTTTCTGACACATTCCATTGGCTTTATCAGTAAAAAGATAAGATTTTTTCCAAAAAAGATTCTTTGCTTTTTATCTTGCAAAAGAAAGACTAACTGACATGCTCTCCGTTACTTTTTTTAACTTACAAGGTCTTTCTCTATCTTTAAGATAAAAGATAAAATGCATCTCTTATTAAACTAAAATGGATAATATACTGAACAGAAAAATTCTACACTAATGAATATTATAAATATCAACAGTAGTATTTTTCTAAAATTCTATTTAGCAAATGAAGATAAGTGAAAAAACTTTAATATTAGAGTATATAACAGTTTTTTGACAATTTTTATTTCAAGTTCATCTATTAATAAATATCAAATAATTGTTTAACAATTAATGTATTAAATAATAAAGTAAACATGTCACAATAAGGTATAAATATAATTATAGATTCATTTATTTTGGTATGCGCAACAATTGGATTGTTACTATCAATATTGATGCTTTTGCTTTTATGTATTTTTCAAAGCAAAAAGAAATTCAAACATTTCCATGATTTTCTGACTGGTAATACTTTTATTTGTTTGCTAATTGATTTTTTCTTCATTATTGATATGTATGCTTATAATATATATGGGCATATCTATGAAAACATCTCATTTGACACAATTTAGTTTTGAATAATTTAAGTATTGTCCAAATGGGTATATTTTTATTAATGGGTGATTATCAATATTTGAAAGATTATCATTGTCAAATCTTAATAAAAAATATACGCATTATACTTTCAGGAATGGTTTTACTATATATGATTCAACAATAATAAATAATCAGATTCAATTACAATCCTTGTTAAATAAAACATTACAACTCTATTCTTATTAAAATTAGATTCAAAATTACATTCACACATATCATTATATAGTATTACAAGTAAATCAATTTGTCGACTTCATTTAGTTGGACTTCATTAGTGTTATGATGAAGAAAAATGGATAGCATTTGCTAGTTCACCATCAGGTATTCAATGTGAAGTTCTTACAATCAAGATTGATGATCGAATAAATATTTGGTCTTATTAAAAATATGAAAAAACTTCGTACATTAAAGGTTCATTGTCGAAAAGGGTGAGGGTGTAAGGATCATCGATAAAAATCCGTATCATTTTTTTTTTGTCGATTGAATCTTAGAAGAATAAATGATTCTAAATATTCTACATTTTTTATTTAACAGTTGAAAAAGGAGTTGATGGTGTCTTGAATCTTCTGCACACGCACAATCCGTCTATTCATGTTATTAAACATAAATTATATAAGAGTGCTCATACATGAGAGAACAAAGAGATAGAAGGTTAGTCACCGGTGAAGAGGACACGCGAGTGAAAGAATTTCGACATTGTTAAAACATAGACCGCTATGAACAATTATCAAGCTAAATAACATCTCTATAAATATCCATTCAATTCAACCGTTCTGTTGTCACTTTATTTCTAATCTTTATCAGTATATAGTGGAAAAGAAAACACGTGTAGTATATTCTAGACAATATAACAAGGAAAATTCTTATTAAGAATAAAGTTTTCAAATACAAATCTTCATGTTTTATCAATTTCTCGACATGACATTACAAAGTAAGTTCCAATTAATTTGATATATTTATTAAATAATTTCTTCTTTTTTAGAAGAACTTATTGATACAAAAAAGTAATTAACAAAATAAATTCCTGAATTTAATTTTATCTTTTTTCTTTATACCGTTTGTAGCTGTATTGAAAATTTATCAAATGGAATCTTCTATCAAATATTTGATTATCTTGATGGTTAT